TTAGTCCTGGTTTAGACCTGATTTAGTCCTGGTTTAGGTCTGGTTTCCTGGTTTAGACCTGATTTAGTCCTGGTTTAGTCCTGGTTTAGACCTGATTTAGTCCTGGTTTAGACCTGATTTAGTCCTGGTTTCCTCTTGATTTAGTCCTGGTTTCCTCTTGATTTAGTCCTGGTTTAGGCTTGATTTAGTCCTGGTTTAGACCTGATTTAGTCCTGGTTTCCTCTTGATTTAGTCCTGGTTTAGACCTGATTTAGTCCTGGTTTCCTCTTGATTTAGTCCTGGTTTAGACCTGATTTAGTCCTGGTTTAGACCTGATTTAGTCCTGGTTTCCTCTTGATTTAGTCCTGGTTTCGTCCTGATTTAGTCCTGGTTTAGTCCTGATTTAGGTTTCCTGGTTTCCTGATTTAGTCCTGGTTTAGACCTGATTTGTCCTGGTTTCCTCTTGATTTAGTCCTGGTTTCCTTGATTTAGTCCTGTTTCCCTTGTTTAGTTTAGTCCTGGTTAGTCTGATTTAGTCCTGGTTTTCCTGATTTAGTCCTGGTTTAGACCTGATTTAGTCCTGGTTTCCTGATTTAGTCCTGGTTTAGATTTAGTCCTGGTTTAGTCCTGATTTTTACCTGCCTGATTTCTGATTTAGTCCTGGTTTATAGACCTGATTTAGTCCTGGTTTAGTCTCTGGTTTAGATTTAGTGGTTTAGATCTTGAATTTAGTCCTGGTTTAGTCCTGATTTAGGTTTCTTTGATTTAGTCCTGGTTTAGACCTGATCCTTTTCTGATTTAAGTCCTGGGTTGATTTTCCTGGTTTCGTCCTGATTTTGGGTCCATAATGTTAATATCTTTTCCTTTAAATTGTGGAAAATGAGAAACCTGTCTGTTCCTGCAGGTTTCTCACTTCTGCACCGGAGCCTAAAAAGAGCGGAGCACTTAGGTATAATTTGACCGCTGCTTTGACACCTCTCCTGCTGTAATTACTGCAGTTTCACAGATATATTTGGCTCTGACTGTTCACATCCGGACATAATATAAGACCTGCTGTAGGTGGACAGGTTCCTCCGTGTTATAAATGGAAACATATTCATTACTGCATTGAATTTAAGCTTAAAAGCAGCTCATTATATAGAAATTATACTAACTGGAGCTATAAAAAAAACATCTGAAATATACTGGAATAAAATGATGATCAAAAAGTCACATTAAAAACCCTGTACCCAATTTTTCACGAGTATAAGCAGCTCTTCAGGTCAAAATAAGTCTGCTGCTTGCCTCAAATTATAAAGTGTTTTACTGTCGGGTAATGAGGAAGTGCACATTTGCATGCTAGTTGGAACTCGCTTTACCGGTACGGCAAAACTTGCTCTGGAAAGTAGCAAAAAAGGCTTAAAAAACTCATCACAGTGAATAATTAGGACGTTCAGAATACATAGAGGAATAATTTTGCAAACTGTTTGAAGGGAGAGTCTGGAATTTTGGACATAGGACATAGGAGCCAGAGTGTTGGAGACGTGTGGAGACACTTTTTAAAAAATATTCCATCCCGTCCTTGTATTTGCAGAGGTCACTGGTGCTAGGCTAGTGCATGTCAATGGCCATAGTTATCCTGCCACTAAAAACAGTCTTAAAATACCCAAAGTAAAACTATTATTACTCCAGACTGTCGATGTAAATGTCTGTGTTAATAAAATAAAGTTTGAAAATAAAACTAACCTTGCATCGCATGAATCGTTGCATGTTGAGGGACTATTTTCTCATATATCAGTCCGCCACTGCTGAGCTTTCTATCAGGACGTACAACTCGCTGCTGCTGCTCAGACATAAATCCTTCAAATGCGAGGTTGATTTTACTTCTAAAATGATTCTATCAATACAGACATTCACATTAACAGTCTGGTGTAATAACAGATTTTCTTCGGGTGTTTTGTGGAGTGGGTAAGACTGTTTTTAGTGGCAGGATAACTATGGCCATTGACATGCACTAGCCTAGCACCAGTGACCTCTGCAAATACAAGGACTGGATGGAATATTTTAAAAAAAGTGTCTCCGCACGTCTCCAACACTCTGGCTCACGAGGAAATGAGGTCCTATGTCCAAAATTCCGGGCTATCCCTTTAAAATAAACTAGTTATGTTTTTCAGGTTTTCAAATAAAATTCCTTTAAAGTACCACCAGTGAGCTCTATTCATGCTTACGTCACAAAACCAGAAGACGTTTGGAAATATGTGGACGACAACTTCCTTTGGGCGCCGTTTGCCATAGCGATGCTGACAAAATCTGAGAAAACTGAGAAAATGGTGCAGAAAGAACAAAAATGTGGCTGTTTGCTGCAGGTGTTCCAATCAGAAGGAGCAGGTAGAGGGCGCTCTTGGGAAAAGGATCAAAACTCAAACACCACAGATTCCAGGCACTCCAAACAAGTAGAAAAAGTAAAAAATCGCACGAGAAAAAATATAGTTAAAAGGCTTTTATTTGAATGGCCAAAGCTGACATGTTTCGACCTTAACTGGTCTTCATCAGGGCTTAATTGCCTTTAATTAAGTTAATTAAGGCCTCAAATAAAGGCCTTTTAACTATATTTTTCCTCGTGCGATTTTTTACTTTTTCTACTTGTTTGGAGTGCCTATAATCCGTTGTGTTTAAAGGTTGTATAGAGGATTTTCCAAGGAACGAGAAATCCAGCGACTGTTTGTCCTTTTTCAAATGTTGCGCATGCGTGAAACCACCCCCCCTCCCCTACAGCTCCTACGTAGAAACGCCCTCCTCCGCCTCCTCCTTACGCCAGAAACAGGTTTGTTTACAGCCGCTGCACATGACTTGTAAACAACTAACTACAGTGTTGGTTAGGCAAGACGGAGAAGTGAGGAGCGGGGGAGCGGGTGCGGACATTTCGTGCGCGGACGAGAAGTGAGGAGCAGGGAGAAGAGCGGAGCAGGGAGAGAGAGAGAGAGAGGAGAGGAGGGAGAGGGGAGCGGTGCGCGGAGATTCCGTGCCCGAGAAGTGAGGAGGGGGGGGAAGAGCGGATCGGGAGCGGGGACAGGAGCAGGAAAGGGGTGCAGAGAAGGTTGCGCGGAGATTCCGTGCGAATGAACTAGCTACAACACGCAGCAGCAAGCGGACTCTTTCTTTGCCTTGAAAATTACGTTTTCAGACATAGGATATCGCTTTCGTGTCCTGAAAAACGTTTGTCTAGCTCTTGGAAATAAAGTACGTTTTCATAATAAGCAGAAGTTTCCTGTCCAGGAGTAATTTGTGGACCAGTGCGTCAGTCTTTAGACCCTGCGTCTGCTTCAGTCGCGCCATCGCTGGAATGAATCTTCAAGAATCACCTTAGTTTGGCTTCGCTGCTTTTCCCCTTGTCTTCTTCTTTCAGCGACCTCAAAAACGGACTTTCTTTTGCGGCGAACTGCTCCTGGATTCTTGTCGCCATTGCAACAAACTTTGTGCAACTGCGAGGAAGATATAGGTAAAAAAAAGCCGCTAAGAACTGTTGTGTTGGTGGAGTAAACAGCGTCTGTGCGTCTTGCGTCTGTGGACTGCGTGACAGACGTACGTAAACCACGTACCGGCGGCGCGCAGGCAGGTCAGTTACGCTAGAAACGTAGGGAGATTGATTGACAGCCTGTCAGCTCAACAGATAACGAGGCAGTGTCGTTATCTATTGGCAAATGTTTAGCCCCACCACGTCCAGAGTTTGATGAATTTTTATTCTCTTTTTTTTGGTCATCATAATTACAAGGCTACTGCACCTCTATAATGCTATCATTGACAACTTGAAACAAAAAAAAATCCTCCATACAACCTTTAAACTGAGAAAATGGCTTGGTTTTCTTCATCTAGATGTCGATGTTCGAGCCCGTCCCGACAGTGAGTCCTGTTTCAGTTCGAGTTTACTCTTGTTTTAGTCCTAGTTCAGTCCTGGTTTAGTCCTCCTCAGTCCTAGAATCAGTCCTAGGTTAGTCCTGGGTTAGTCCTGGTTTAGTCTTGGTTCAGTCCGTGGCGTACGCAGCGCAAAAAGTTTGATATAATCTCTGGTTAACTGCGCGAAGGAAGGAGGAAAACAACAAAAGGACGACAGCAGCAATAAGTTTTAAGAATGATGCAAAAACGATTGTGACTGTCGTGTCTGAGAAAAGTGTATAAAGTGTGTGATGAGGGATTTTACAGCCTTAAAACAGATATAATAATTGTAAAATATAAAGTTGACTACTATCGCAGGTTATTTTTAGAATGTAACCCGCTTTAAACGAGGGACCACTGTACACACATATTGTCCTGAAGTAAAATTTGAATGCCTAACTTTGTACACTAATAAATGGATAATAGTTTATGTTTTTATATATACTTTACCTCATGTCAGGCTTGTCATGGCTCTTATATTTACTCGAATTTCTTGTGACTGCTGCTAAAACTAGTAGCTCTCTGGCATTTTTTTTTGTAAAAATAGCTCAGCAGAGGAAAAAGTTTGGAGACCCCCGCTACATACATGGTCACAAAAACGGTGCCACCATGCTGAAAGCGAGGACTGAACTTCAATTCACTGGTTTATTGGAGAAATATTTCTTCCACCTAAGGAAACAGTAATTATAGCTCGTTTTGTAATCTAACTTTTTACTTACGCATTTTATTTATTGGAAGTTAGAGCTAACCTTTAAAACCAGTTTTTGTTCTCACAGCAAGTCCAATTTTCTCAGTATTAACCAAAGACTGTATAAAGACGTGGACTAAAGGAGTGTGAAGTCGTCCGTAGCGTTCAGCTCCAGTCAAATTAAGTTACAGGAATTTGGAGAACAGTTCTGTATTAGGAATCGGAATTTATTTACGAACAAAATAGCAAAATAAAAAACAGGAACACGTAGACTGGGTCAATACGAATATTTTAAGACCAAAAATGACGAGGCTTGTTTACAGTTACAGAAAGAGGCGTGACAGTTTTTTTAATGTAAAGTCATTTGGAGCCAGAGTCGGTGGAGCCGGAAGTGCGTCCATGCTCACTTCCTGTGAACCTCTCATACTGGCTGACTCCTCCTCTCTCTCCGCTCCTTCGCGCTGTTTCGTTCCCCGCTGCATCTGGAGCTGCCCCGGGACCCCCTCTGCCTCAGGTTGTGGGAGATGGGCCGGTGCAGGTTGGTGCAGGAGGAGGCGGGCGCTTCGGAGGCCACCCACGGGTGCTTCAGGGCCTGTTCCGCGGTGAGTCGAGCGCCGGGGTCCACGCGGAGAAGCCCGGAGATGAAGTCTTTGGCCTGGTTTGAGACGCAAGGCCAGGGCTGTGGACAGACGAGAGACAGTTATATGGAGTAAGAAAGCTGTCAAAAATATTCGTGCGCGTAAAATAGAAATCCGTGCGTATTTGGCTGTAGTTGCGCATAAAATAAATATTTGTAAACTCTCAAATGAGTCCAGTCGTACATAAAATATATTGTGTGTATTTTATCCATCAGAATACGAATTGAAAAATTACGACGTCATGAATTACAATCAGGAAATGAAAATTTACGATTACGCTTTCATCAGCTGAAGTGA